CCTGAGCCGAAGGCAGTCGCTTAACCAACTGAGCCACCCAGGCGCCCCTAGAGACATTTTTAGACATACAAGTCCCCAGCATTCATCTCCTAGTCTCCCTTTCTCAGGAAGCTCCTAGATGAGAGATCAGCAAACTATGGTCTTTAGTCCAAATCAGCCCACTGTTTCTGTAAATAAAGTTTTAGTGGAACACGACCATGCTCCTTTGTTTCTGTAGTATTCATGATTGCTCTCATGTTATAATGGCAGAATTGAATAGTTGTGAAACTCTGTGGCCCACAAAGCCTAAACTATATACTAGCTAGCGCTTTACAGGAAAGGTTTGCTGATAAGGTGCATAAAGGAGTAGGAAGGGGAAATGATGAGGGAATCAGGCAAACTTTAGAAAGGTAGAAAAGGGGTGCCTGAGTGACTGTCAATAAAGTGTCTGATTTCCACTCTGGTCATGATCTCATTTCAGGGGGATGTCCTGGGATGGAGCCCAAGCTCAGGCTTTCTGCACTTGGCAGGGAGTCTGCCTGTCCCTCTACCCCTCGCCCAGCTTGTGCTCATGCCCTCGCACTCTCCCTCTCAAATAAATAAATAAAATCTTTTTAAAAATAAGGTAGAAGAAAAATGAGTTAAGAGGGACAAGAGAGGATGGAGTTGCAAGAAATGTTTGATGTTTGAGAGATGTCAGGGAGCCTAAGCTGTCTTGAAAAACCACTAAATATAATATAATATAGGGGGTATGCAAAATGGGTGAATAGGTCAAAAGGTACAAACTTCCAGTTACACTATAATAAAGTCCTGGGGATATAATGTACAGCATGGTGACTACAGTTAACAAAACCTTATGGTTTGAAAGTTACTAAGAGAGTAGATCTTAAAAATTCTCATCACAAGAAAACTTTTAAACTATGTGTGGTGATGGATGTTAACTATGCTTATTGTGGTGATCATTTAGTAATATATACATATATTAAATTGTGTTGTACACCTAGAAGGAATACAATGCCCTATGTCAATTGTAGCTAAATTTAAAAAATACATACATATGTACTAAGTTTTAAAAATTAAATTCTTGGGGTGCCTGGGTGGCTCAGTCCGTTAAGCGGCTGCCTTCGGCTCAGGTCCTGATCCTGGGGTCTTGGGATGGAGCCCTGCATCTGGCTCCCTGATCAGCGGAGAGCCTGTTTCTCCCTCTCCATCTGCCTGCCACTCTGCCTACTTGTGGTCTCTCTCTCTCTGTCAAATAAATAAATAAAATCTTTTAAAATAA